ACACACACACACACACACACACACACACACACACACCTACTCTCTCACTTCGGGGCCTATAAGTTGTAAAGTGAAGAACACAAACCTGAGGAGACAGCTTCACAGTGAGAAGCAAACAGAGGCGTGCAAACCAAAGAGGAAACAAAACAAAAGAAAGAGATGGAAGGAATTGAAAACACAAGAGTCAGTCAACTGGGAGGGATGAGAGGGTGGGAAAGAGGGAAGCAGAGAGGGCAGGAGGGGGCTCTGACCAGCTACTTGAAGACTATTCTAACAGGAGCAGTAGGCATAGGGCGGCGGGATTGCCCTTGCTGGGGGCGGAAGGGCAAATGGAATTAAGGGAGAGAGCGTGCAGGCAAACATGACACCACACGGAAGCAAATTTGGAAAGATTGTTCCAGAGTTAGGGCTGTGCATGGATGAGCTTTGCAAAGTCCCATGACAGAGGTTCTGGAATCAGACTTCCTCTCAGGGAGCCTGGGACAGGTCAGCCACATTCCTTCTCTGCATCTCAGCCCCTCGTGTGTAAACCCAGCACCTTACAGGGCTGCTGGGAGGCCGACATTTTACGATGTGTGCAAAGTGTTAGGACAGTGCCTGGAACATAATAAATGCCCCGTGTTTCTAACTCTCACTGTTTTTGGGTAAAGGACAACAAATCCGAAAAATACAAGGTCCAGGACTATGGTTTTATCCCTTCCTTGGGCTTTGTTTGTTTTGTTCTGTTTTTGTTGTTAATGGAGATGATCTTCCCTCAGTAAAAGGAAGCCATTCCTCCCCCTCAAATTCTCTGGAAGACAGGACATACATTGTTTTCATCTCTCGGGCACATGTCCTGTACGTGATAGGGACTTCAGTGCGCTCTGTGGGGAGACAGGAGACACACCCCTGGGAAGCACCTCAGTCCACTTCTCCGTAAGGGTCTCCCAGCATTTAGGGAGCATCAGTGACGTCCGGTCAGAGTTGTTAGTCCTTTGTGATAGCCTCTGGACACGTGTGTGAATCACAGACAATTGTGTCCAGCACAGAGGGCCTGAGCCAACACCATGTTCTGTGTCACGCCTCGTCTTCAAGCCAGATGTGAACATGAAAAGCAGAAGGCTCACTAAACGCAGTCGGTGTTCTCAGCTGCCGTGAGCAAGCCAGGCGCCATTTACACAAGTCTGCCCTTTCAATGTAGACATTTATTTTTCCACTGACAGCCCTATGGGGTGCACAGTCAATTCTCCTGTCATGTGTCTTTGCTGTGGTGAGATTGATAGCTGGACCAGCCTCACCTTGGGGAAAAGGGGGACAGAAAGCCTCCGGGACTTGAGAAAGTCAAAGCAGCGCTGTGCAGGCCTGTCCTTAGGCTCCTGGAAACGTGTGAAAAATCGGTTTTATGCCTCATCTGTTGATCTTGTCAGTTCTTATTACCAAGAGATTTAATGCTTTCTTATTTAAACGTGCATCCAGTGCAGTCACAACTCCAAGTCCGGCAAGATCTTTGCAAAGGTAGAGGCAGTGTGTGAAAGGAAGTGTGAGTGGTTGCCAATGGGGTACAGGCCTCAGCACTCATAAGTGGTGTGGACTGAGTGTGAACGTTTCAACACTGAGTCACTCACACACTGGATGGGCCAAAGAGGACCTGCTTAGTTGTAGTAGCAATGATAGTACTGATAAAATGATCACTCTATAAAAACAGCTATTATTTCTTGAGCCTTATTATGTGCCAGGCATGGTGCCATCAGTCTTACATGGATTCTTTTATTAAATTCAGACAATACCCTGATTTTAATGTTTATTTATTTTGAGAGACACAGAGAGACAGACAGACAGGCAGAGTGTGAGTAGGGGAGAGGCAGGGAGAGAGGGGGAGAGAGGATCCTAAGTAGCCTCCATACTGCCAGCGTAGAGCCCGAAGCAGGGGCTCGATCTCACAACTGTGAGATCGTGACCTGAGCTGAAGTCAATAGCTGGATGGTTAACTGACTGAGCCACCCAGGTGCCCAGGCAGGTATTATTTTTATTTCCATTTTACAAATGAGAAAACTGGAGGCTGATGAGGTCCAGTCACTTGCCCCAGGCTTCTGTGGTGGGATTATTTAGGAGGTGTTTGCGTGTGGGCAGGGAGAAGGAGGTGGAAGGTCAGCAGGGAGGAGGGAGGAGGGGCAGCTGGGTAGAGGCAACACAGTGGGAGGTCAAGTACATGGTGGTGGGGCAGGGGGTCAGGTGAGCACCCCGGGAGAGGGCAGGACTAAGATACCTATTTTAATTTTCTTGGGACCTTTTCCTGTGCGGCATACTGACCCACATGTTACCCTCTTGCTTTGAGTGGTCATACTGCATTTTCATATTTAATCATTTTTTAAGATAGAGAGACTGTGGAGCCCAGTTTAAATCAGAAAATGTAGAATAAATCAAATTTACTTGGCTTGGCTCGTGGTCTTCTAGAGAGGTATGCAAATATAGAACCTTCGTGTTTTGTAGAACAATGGGTTCCAAACGCTTTTTAAAGTGCCTGAAAATGAGGTCTTATGTAGTGGTTCAATATTTTAGGGGATGAAAGCATTGCCACGTGAGCAGTGTGGATGTTACACAGGTAAAATAACAGCAAGCTGCAGAACAGTGCATGTGGTGGGTATGATTACGAGATGCTATGTATATACACAGAAGAGCACTGGGGACAGGGGTTATGGATATGAAGGAGACTTCCTTTTGTACAATAAAAATGCTTTTAACCTCATGTATATATTAGTCAAATAACAAAGCAAGATTTGGGGACTCTCAGCATTGACTCTCCAACCCTCTTTACCCCCCTCCCCCACCCACCTCCCCGATATTTCCCACGTTTCCCTTTTAGCACCCCTGAGGGGTTCCCTGGAGCAGAGAAGCCCTGATCCAGCAAGTACTTTGCTCGTTCTGTCTTAACTACAGCCAGCATCCACCTTGGCTGTGTTCTAATTATATGCTGGCACTCCGGGCTGCTACCATCCCCACCATTCAGTATACGTGTGTGGAGTGACCAAGGGCAGTGACCTTAAGTCGGTCTGGCTTCATCCAATAAGACCAGTCACTATTTGGGAATTAAAAGCACTCTTTACAGAGGCTTGTTTTAAAGCCAGTATCCTCCTTTTGCAAAATGTACTCTGTCTACCCCAGAGCCAGATCCCCCCATCACTTAGCTCTAGGCACGTACCTCTCTGCCACCACTTACTCTTTCTCATGCTGCTCCTCCCGGATCTCCGAAGAGAGCCCTGTCCTAAAGTCCCCGGGCTGGTTGTGCTCCTCACAGGGTTGACTATGGCGGTGGGCACAAAGACGGACTTGAAGGGACGGTTCTGCTGGGGATCACCTTCTGAAATGCTGCCTTGGGAGGACACAGAGGAGTTGGATAACGTCCATGTGGCGTAGAGACCAGGACTCCGAGAATCTGGAAAACTAGATGTCTTTCTGGTTGTTGCAAGCGTTTTAAAGAGAAGAAATAAAGAAAATGTTCAGTTATGAGTCCTATTTAAAAAAGCTCTCAACCATATACTGAATGTGGTCTCTCTTCACTCCCTTCCTATCATATATGCTCCCTTTATTAACCACACAGGCTTGATCATGTGGGTCTCACGATTTACAGCTGGGCAACTGTGCAGGTGTGCAGAGGGCAGGGAGAGGGGCTCATACTGAGGCCCCATTGGAACGAGAACACTTGACTTAGGTCATCTTTCATTCCAGCTCTAATCACTCCTAACCCCAAGAGTTTGGAGCACAAGGTTTGTACATGTTCAACTCGTTTTGTGGTTCTGATTTCCTATTCATTCTGTGACTTTCCCCTTTGATTCTAAACTCAGGGAAGGCAGAGATATTTTATGCCTTATTTTATATGCTTTGTGTTCTGCATCTATTGCTTATCAAAAGTTTGTTGAATGATTTCCATGATGCTTTCAGCACTGATGCCAGTTGTTTGGGCTAACACATGTTGAGCACTTACTGTATGCTGGGCATTGGGCAGTGCTTTGCCCCCATTATCTTGTGGGTTCTTCACAACAGCCTTCTGAGGTACGTACTATTAGTGCTACTATTTTTGTTTTAATTTTTAAAAATGTTTTTATTTATTTTTGAGAGAGACAGACAGACACTGAGTGTGAGCAGGGGAGGGGCAGAGAGAGAGGGAGACACAGAATCTGAAGCAGGCTCCAGGCTTTGAGTGGTCAGTACAGAGCCTGATGCAGGGCTCAAACTCAAGAACCACGAGATCATGACCTGAGCCGAAGCTGGACGCTCAACCAACTGAGCCACCCAGGCACCCCAAGTGCCACTATTTTATGGATAAGAAAATAGAGGCTTACAGTTACTTGGCCAAGCAGCTACAAGACCTGAGATTTGAACCCAGGTCCAGGCTGGCCCTCTCCTCTACCACTGAAAAGATCACCGTCTTACCACTGAGCACACTCCCTCCTGGCTAGGGAGAGTGTTCATCATTTAGGTAGCAAGGTAAGCCCTGAATCCTGCTTGAAAGAAACAAACTGAAGCAGTGGGGAGGCCCTACACATGCCTTTGGAAGACCCTCCCTTTTCAGCCTTGGGTTCTGACTTTTAAGACTAGTATTAAAGTTTTATAAAACACCAATCTCCATTCACTCGCTTCCAGATTGCTACTCCCTGAACCCTATGGGGAATGGCTGCCATTTTACATGCCCTTCTTGCCCTTTTACTAATCCTACCCCAAAATCACAGCGCCGATTGAGTAGTCCATCGATCAGCTTGTCACTCGGATGATGAAATAACCTCCCTGGGAACAATCAACTCAACCAAGACCCTGGCTCAGAGATGCCCTCCCTGATGGCCTTCCCATTAATGCCTACAATCATTTCCCTTTATTTCTTCTCCTCCTTTTCTCTCCTTCTTTGGCTGAAAAAAGTGATATGGAGCTTAACAACGAGCCAGCCAGTGGTACAAAGATAGGTAAGGCGTTATTTAACGTGACCAACTCTGCCCAAGAAGCATATGCAGCCAAATGCCCAGGAATGATGCTTACAGTGATGGGACTTCTATCCACAGCCATCAACCTGCCTCTGGTCCTGGTGATGTCGTCAGTAAAGGGGTGTAGGCTTCCTGCCAGTAAGAGCTCCCACTCTATTCTGGAGCTGAGGGCTGGCAGTGGAGAGAAATCCTTGGCCTGGGCCTCCATGGTCATGTGCTACATCTGCCTGTTTTTTGAATGGGGGGCCTCAAGGTGTTGGATACTATAAAATGGGCTGGCCACAGGAAAGACAGGTTCCATAACCATTCCCAGCAGCAGCAAGCACAGAATACAGTTAATTAGGCCCAAGCCAGCCTTATTCCACAAGTCTCTTCTCTGAATGACTGTTGATAGACCGAGCTGCAACCTGATTTTTCTGAGCCCAGCACTAGGTCAGGTTCCAAAAACTCTTAAATCCAAAGTCCTCCTTTCAACAGGAGTCCCTCTCTGTCTTTTGGCAAAAAGCTCAGCACTTACCCAGCGCTTTCTTCTAATATCAAAGTACTTTGTGAACATATATTAATTAATCCCCATTACACTCCAGACCTGTAAACATTCTGATCCTTGTTTTCCAGATGGAGAGACTGAAAGAGGGGTTGCGGGGGGAGGAAGGAGTGCTATTGCCTCCAACTTGCTCCATTGTGCTGCTTTGAGTGTGCAGGTCTGTGTCCCCTTTCCTGTCTGTTATAGGAACCCATAAGACCTAGCCCCCTCCCCCCACCGTATGTGAAGGGGCATTTGCAGCTCTACTGTACTCACCACTGGCAGCAGCCTCCTGGTAAGGGAAAGCTTGCACCCTGGCAACTTTATATAGTTCTGTGTAGAAAGTTCAAAGAACCGAGTGTTGGCCCCTGTATTGCTTTTTCCATCCATAAGGCACCAGGGGGGTGCATGTGCCTGGTGAAGGTTGTAAGAAAGAGGAATATCCTGGATACTGGACAGAAGGGACTGTGTTGGGAGAACATGAGGGGCAGAGAGGCCTTGGAAACAGGACCTGAGGGAGGCTGCTGAGAGTCTGGCAGCAGATACCTGAGATAGGGGGCAGGGGTCTGATCAGACGTTGCTGATTGTGTTCTTGCCATGAAAGGTCTTCAACTGCAACCACATTCTTTCCTCTCTGGTTCAAGCTTCCAAGCCCTCAGAGAGAGCCTCAGATGGGCTGAGCCTGTTCCTTAGCTGGGGTGATGGGAGGAGAAGGAGAGGGAGGATAAGGAGGAAGAGCAGGATAGAGAGGAGGAGGAGGGGGACATGAGAAGGAGGAGCTAGTTTCTTAAGCCTCTGAAAAGAGAGGAAACTTGTGCTTCCCACCAAGACTATGCCTGAAGGAGGAAAAGTATGTTGACGCTAGTCAGAGGGGATTTAGATGGAAACTTGACAAACGTTCTGCACAGTCTGAGCCTGTAGCTGCCTCCAGGGCCTGGGAAAGCATGTCACGGTGGCAGAGATTTACTTGTGGTCAACTCGGCTGGACAGGTGGGTGTCACTATCTAGCATTGAGAGAGGGCTGGCACTCTGGAGGGCACAGCTGCCTTTTATTCTCTTGGGAATTAAAAGGCTCACTTGCTGAATCTTAAAACCCTGGCATTTGGGTCAGCACTAGTCTTTCTATAGAGTTAGTCCCCAAGCTCTGGCAGGCCCAGTTCATTGGGGCATAATGCTAATAAAGCAAAGGTTCCAGTGCTCAGGGGGGACCTCATACTTTCGAGCCCTGGCTCTTTTATAAAAGGCTGCCTTCTAGCCCAAGGCGGCTGCTGGTGGTGACAGGCATCGCTGCAAACAGAAAACAGAGATGGGAACAAAACCTCACACACATGCAGAACCAAAGAGCAGAAAGGGGCCTTGCACATGTAGTCCAACCCACTCAGTCCTATCACAACCTGCTAAAAGGAGTGGAAACTAAGCTGACAAAGGACCACATCATTCAGCCCCAAGAAGCAAAAGGAGAGGGTGGCTAAGAACAAGGATGAGCTGCTCCCAGGTAGATAAATCAGGCATCACAGACCCATGTCTAAGATTACTGGTGATGGGACCTTCCTTTGCATCAGAGGACCATCAAGGAGAACTTCACACAGAGAGAGCACCAATCCTCTGTCACTTAACAGCTGTCAGGAGAATATACTCTGACAGGGATTTCCTCTTTTTGGAAATGTTGGTTCCCTAGAAGCAAAACCCACATCCATGTAAGTAGCACCTCAGTATACACATATGTTCAGGATTCTATCAACTGGAGGGGAGGGACAGATTCAATGGCAACCTATGGCTGAAACTCCATCCACTGTCTGATGTGGCTGTCTCTGAACAGGTGAGTCTAGATGGCTCATGGCTTGCCTAAGGACACAATACATGTACCTAGGAGAAAAGCCAAGGAGAGAAAGGGAAGCTGGAGCCTTGGAATACACTGGAATGGAATCCTCCATGCATTCTAGTGAGGGTAACCATTTGTCCAGATTTTCCTAGGAGAGTCTTAGTTTACATCTGCTCTCCTGGTGTATTAAAAGTGTGTGTGTGTGTCTCTCT